AGAAGGCACAGAACCTGATGCGAGGTGTCAGGGTTCGAATAGAGTGAAGAGGGTGTCCCTCTGTCAGGGCAGCCTGGCATGGGGCCTCTGAGATGGTTGTCCCCACGGGGTGGAGTTGGGAGCAGCAGCCCAGTGCCAGGAGTCAGAGTGCCTGCTGAGGGGAAGCTTGGCAGGGTGTCGGAGGCACAGCAGGGTGAGGAAGGTACCAACACGGATAGAGGCAATGTAGGGCAGAGAACCTGAGCCTGTGAGGGTAAAGAAGGCATCGGCAGGGTAGGTGCAAGACTGGGTACATACAGGCGAACTGGTCAAATTATGTAAGCATCTAGGGAGAATGGGAACCAGGTTAATCAGGTTTGGAGAAGGTCGTTACAAATATGGAAAGGGGGAATAAATTAGAATTAACCTGTATATTGGATTGACATAGAAAGTAATAGCACAAACTCAAGTTCAAAATATATATATAGATAGATATAAAAATAAATATGGATGTCTAACGTATGTATGTATGCTCAAACACGTACATGTATACATATGTAAATACATGCATGTATATATTTAGCAACATGCATTAAATTACCTGAGATCAGTGGCATCCCAATAGCAATGAGTATTTCTAGGGCCCAGGTATTGGCTTCTAAGTTCCATTTTCCATTAAAGGGAACCAGGAGAATAACTGATTCCAGGGCTGGATAGGAAAATACAAGATAAACTCGGAACACTTTGTAGTGCCAAAGAGCTCAAAGAATGATGAGGACTTGTCAAAAGAACACCAAAATCAACATAAATGGGACTCCCGAAGGTCGAACTGGGGATAACACAAGTATCGAAATAAAGATTGTAGGGCCGGGTGTGGTGGCTCACACCTGTAATCCTAGCACTTTGGGAGGCCAAGTTGGGTGGATCACCTGAGGTTGGGAGTTCGAGACCAGCCTGACCAACATGGAGAAACCCCCATCTCTACTAAAAATACAAAAAATTAACCAGGCATGGTGGTGCATGCCTGTAATCCCAGTTACTCGGGAGGCTGAGGCAGGAGAATCACTTGAACCTGAGAGACGGAGGTTGCGGTGAGTTGAGATCACGCCATTGTACTCCAGCCTGGGTGACAAGAGCGAAACTCTATCTCAAAAAACAAACAAACAAACAAAATTGTAACAGATTATAACCCATTAAAAAAACAGGAAAACATAAGTCCATATAAAGAGAAATTAATAAATGGGAAGTTGGGTTAGGAATTGGATATTTACGTAGTGTTAAAGTACCACCCCACAAAATATTTCTGAATTTTCAAAGGGAAAATAACTGTAACTGCAGTAGAGAAGACCCGCTCATGCTACCTTAATCGAATGATCAAATTACACCAACAGGGCATGGTGGTGCACACCTGTAGTCACAGCTACTTGGGGGCTGAGGCAGGAGAATCACTTGAGCCAGGAGTTTGAGATTGTATTGTGGTATGATTGCACCTGTGACCAGCCACTGCACTGGGCAACAGAGCAAGACCTTGTCTTCAAAGAAATTTAAAAATAACACATTTTTAAGGTGGAAAAGAAATGTCACAGAAAACAAATTACATCATCAGTACTGGGACAAATTCAAATCCTACGTCACCTCTGACAAGGCACTGAGAACATGGCATCACTTCTGTGCTATTCCTCCCAAAGATGAAGAACCTGGGTCTAATCATGAGGAAACGGCAGATAAATCCAAAGCAAGAACATTCTAGAACATAAGTGTCCTGTGATCTTCGTAAGTGCCAAGGTTATGAGGGTCAGGGAACAACTGAGGAAGTGTTCCAGACTGAAGGAGACTAAGAGATCCACAACTACATGCCTCACATGATCAGTTATCAAGCAATCAACAGAATACGTGTGGGGCTGTGGATTAAACACTAGTAACACATCCATGTAAACATCCAGGTTTCGATGTTTGTGCTGTGATTCTGTGGGAGAATATCCCCATTTGTAGGAAATACACACAAAGGTCTTCGGGGGTGATGGAGCATCCAGGTTATCAATGAACTCTCAAATGGTTCAGGGAAAATAAGGTTCTTCATTGTCTGAGTTTTGACTGTTTAAAAATAAAAAAGCTGCTGGACAAGGTGGCTCACATCTGTAATCCAAGCACTTTGGAAGGCAGAGGCGGGAGGCTCACTTGAGGTCAGGAGTTCGAGGCCAGTCGGGCCAACATGGTGAAACCCTGTCTTCACTAAAAATACAAAAATTAACTGGGCGTGGTGGCTTGTGCCTGTAATCCCAGCTACTTGGGAGGCTGAGGCATGAGAATCGCTTGAACCCAGGAGGCGGAGGTTGCAGTGAGCCAAGATCGCACCACTGCACTCCAGCGTGGGTGACAAAGTGAGACTTTGTCTTGAAATAATAATAATAATAATGTACAAGGGAAGGAGTATACAATGTCCCAGAATATTTTTAAGTACCTTCATTTAATCTACTGTGTTTTCCATGCATATTTGCAGCTTAGCTGTATTCCTGGCTCAAATCATTTTTTACTAGATTCAGTCTTCATAGGTGTTTTGTAGTATTTTAACTTAGAATGTAAAATTTTAAAGTAATACGTATGTAATAAGTATGTAATTTATATAGCAATAAAATTTCCATATCATTGAAAGTAATTGCCATAATATAATTAGCAGACCATTTTGTAGTAATTTCTCACAGGTCTGTGTAATACTTTGTGGCTTTTTAATGATAAATGAATATTAGCTATTAAAACTATATTTGAGCTCTTTTTTATTTCACATATAAGTTAGATCATGCAATATTTTTCTTTCTGTATCTGGCTTATTTCACTTAGCATAATGTCCTCCATGTTGTGGCAAATGGCAGGATTTCCTTCTTTTTTTAAGGCTGAATAATATCCCACTGTGTGTGTATGTCTCTGTGTGTATATATACATACATACACACACACATATATATATACACACATACACATATATACAATATGTATATCACATTTTCTTTACCCATTTGTCCATAGATGGGCATTTAGGTGGTGTCCATGTCTTGGCTATTGTGAATAATGCTGTAATGAACACAGGAGTGCAGTTTTCTTTACGAGGTGGTGATTTCATCTTTTTGGGGTTTATACACAGAAGAGGGATTGCTGGGTCATATGGTGGTTCTATCTTTAATTTCTTTAGGAACCTCCATACTATTTTCCATAATGACTGTACCAATCTACATTTCCACCAACAGTGTACTGGGGTTCCCTTTTCTCCACGCCCTTACCAACATGTATTATCTCTTGTCTTTTTGATAATAGCCATCCTTACAGGTGTGAGATGACATCTCATACTGGTTTTAATTTACATTTCCATTATGATTAGTGATGTAGTGTACATTTTCATATACCTGTTGGCTATTTTTGTGTCCCTTTTAGAGAAATGTCTGTTTAGATCCTTTGCCCATTTTTTAATTGGGCTTTTTTGTTTTCCTACTACTGAGTTGTAAGAGTTGTTTTAATAAATTTTGGTTATTAACCCTTTGTTAGATATGTGGTTTGCAATTATGTTTTCCCAGTCTATCGGTTGCCTTTTCATTTTGTTGATTATTTCCCTTTTTGTGCAGAAGCTTTTTAGTTTGATGTAGTCCATTTATTTATATTAGCTTTTGTAGCCTAAGCTTTTGGTGTGATACCCCAAAAATTATTGCCAAGGCCAATGTCAAGAAGTTTTTTCCCTATATTTCCCTGTATAAGTTTCATGATTTTAGGTCTTACATTTAGGACTTCTTTCCATTTTGAGTTGATATTTGTGTATGGTGTAAAATAAGGTTCCAATTTCATTCTTTTGCATGTGGTAATCCAGTTTTCCCAGTACCATTTATTGAAGGGACTATCTGTTCCCTATTGTGTCCTTTGGTGTCTTTGTCAAAAATTAGTGGACCATGTATGTTTGGATTTATTTCTGGGCTTTCTATTCTGTTCCATTGGTCTATGTTTCTGTTTATGCCAGTACCATACTGTTCTGATTACTATAGCTTTATAATATACTGTAATTTTAAATCAGAAGGTGTGATGCCTCTAACTTTGTTTTTCTTTCTCAGTATTGCTTTGGGTATTCAGGGTTTTTTATGGTTTTATATGAATTTTAGGATTCTGTGTTTTATTTCTGTGAAGAATGCAATTGGAATTTTGATACAGATTGCATGAAATCTGATATAGATTTGGGTAAATGGGCACATCAGCAATGTTAATTCTTTCCATCCATGAAGATGAGATATATTTCCATTTATTTGTGTCTTCTTTAATTTCTTTCATCAATTTTTATAGTTGTTAGTGTACAAAGCTTTCACCTTCTTGGTTAAATTTATTCCTAGGTTTTTTATGCTATTTTAAATTTGAATTTTTTTATTTCTTTTTCAGCTAGGTTGTTCTTTGTATATAGAAATGATACTGATTTTAGTGTATTGATTTTGTATTCTACAACTTCACTAAATTCATTTATTAGTTCTAACAGATTTTCTGCAGAGTCTTTGGTTTTTTCTACATATAGAATCATGCCATCTTCAAGTGGAAGTAATTCTACTTCCTTTTAAACTTAGAATGGCTTTCATTTACTTTGCTTGTCTGATTGCTCTCACCAGCACTTCAAGTACCATACTGAATAGAAGTGGTGAGAGTGGGCATCCCTGCCTCTTTCCAGATCTTAGTGGAAAAATTTTGGTTGTTTCCCCTTGATTATGATGTTAGCTGAGGGTTTTTCATAAACAGTTCTTACCATGTTGAGAAACTTTCCTTTTATACCTAAATTGTTAAGTGTTTTTAATCAAGGAAGAAACCTGAACTTTGTCAAATGTTTTTTTCTGCATCAGTTGAGATGAGTATGTGGTTTTTATCTTTCATTTTATTAATGTGATATACCACAGTGGTGTTTTATTTTTAATTTTAAGATATCATCAGTACATGAATCAGAAAAGCAGTTCTTTGTCTAGAAGCAGCTTATTTTAGAAATTGTTTGGGCAAAAAGGTCTTTCATTTATCCAACTTGACTTTTATTTCACAATCAAAGTAAAACACCACACAGGCACCTCCCACCTAGCATTAGTTAATGCATTCTTGAAAGTCAAAAGCAACAAAATAATAGTCTTTCCTCCATTATTTTAAAAGGGCAAATTTATCACACAGAATACGTCAACAGAAATGTATATGTCAATATCTAACCAACTTATAAGACAAAGAAAAACAACGAAATGCCTATATGTTAGTGACAAACTCTAAAGGAATATGAAATGTTTAAAACATTGCTTCTCAATCACAAAACAACTAATACACTGTTAACCAACATTTGCTGTGTATTCAACAGCAGGTGAAGTTTGCATGCATCGTTATATTAGCAGTACAGCACAGCAAATAACATATAGCAATAAATGGTTTTCCCAGGGAAAATTCAAATGAAGATTACAATAAATTAAGAATATTACCTGTAATGTTACCTGCCAAGTAAGGTAGACACCTGGAACTGACAAAACTTGAGAAGCTACTGCTGCAGATGTCCCTGGATCCTGGTAAATCTTCAAAGGAGTTGGTGACACATCAGGATGAAAAAATTCCCCAGGGGATCTCGTTTACACTGAGAGTTTATGGGCAGACATTTCATTGCAGGGTATTATCAAGGCATGAGGCCATTCTTAAAAGCAAGACTTTCCATCCTACGGCTTCATATTAAGAATAGGGATAGCTTTGCTTATACTATCTTAAACCAGTGATGTCCAGGGGACGATATGATGCTCTTCCAGGTCTTCACTTTAATCTTCCTCAAACTCAGTGATCAATAATCCCTCAGTATATATATGTTTAAAGAACTCTTTGACATCTTTTCACTACCTCTTCCAAGGTGTCTGCTTTTGCAGGCATCACAGCTTTCCTGGGCATCCATTGCCTCTTCAGGGTCTTTGAAATCAGCCACAAATTGCAGGGCTAATTTTTTTCATAATCCCATGTTGTTTGTAGAAAGACTCTTTGCTATGGCTTCTCAATGATAGTGGAGGTTTCATCTGCAATCTGGGCCAGGACTGGGAATTAATTTTCATATAAACATCAGCTAAAATTTTTGTATTGAGAAATATGTACATTCTATAAAAGTTGGGCTTAAAAAAACACAACAGTCTACTATGAACCCCATATTACTGTGGAAAGAAGCACTTTATCTCTGTCTTTCAGAAAATTGTTATAACACACTGACTGAATTTTTAAAAAGAAGGCAGTTTTATGCTACCTACCCAAGAAAAATGCCATAATAAGCAATAAATTGCCCATCATTGGAGTCAACAAATTAGTAATTTTTTAAAAATTTTCAAAATAACAAAGATATCTGTAATATTAAGGTTATCTTCTTAGTTGCGGGGCCTCGTGCAGTGCACAATATGAACAATTTTACATGGCAGCCAGTGATCAGATTCGTACATCGATTCTTGGCATTCTATTAAAAGACAACCTTGCACACAGTAGATGCTCAATAAGATGCTGACAGTCTGGCAGGATGGTGACTTCAAAGCCCATTTCCCTATTTCAGGCATCTTCCTAGCCCACTTCAATAATTCATTGGCATGTGCTATGGTCCGAATGTGTCCCCAAAATTCGTGTGATGGAGATGTAATTCCCAATTTAACAGTGTTCAGAGGTGTGGCCTTTTGGGGGGTGTTTACAACATAAAGGCAGAGCCTTTGTGCTCCTCTTGTGCACTTCTGCCATGCAAGACCCAGTGTTCCTCTCCTCTGGAGGATTCAGCTGTCAAGACGCCATTTTGGGAGGAGGTACCAAGTCCTCACCAAACACTGAACCTCCCAGTGCCTTGATCTCAAATTTCCCAGCTGCTAGAACTGTGAGAAATAAATTTCTGTTCTTTATAATGTATTCAGTCTCAGGTACTGTGTTATATAGCATGCTTAAATTTTTTTATAATCAGAAAATCCTGCAGAAATTTAAATCCATTTTCTCTTTCTTTCCCACAGAAAAAGTCCCATACAACATTCTTCTTCTCCCCATCAGGAAGTAGATGATGTCGAATTCTAAAACTCTGCTGGCTTTTGATCACTATAACTCTTTGTTTTTCTCCCTACCTTAAGCCCTCTGGATGGCAAAGAGTTCTCTAACACTCATCCTGCTAGCATGTGCTATGATTCCACTTTCTCTTCCCCAGTCAAGTTATGTGTTTCCCCTGAAGGTTGGTTTCGCAGTTTTGTTTGTTAACCTGGAAGGAGCCCTCAAACATTTACTTTGATTTGTGGAGCACTAATGACTACAAGAATTATGTGATTATACTGATTTTAAGTGAAATACATTTTTGAAGTTTTGGTTTGTTGAGTCTGGGATGAGAGGTTTGGGCCCTAGAGTTGTAGCTTCCAGACACTGATGGAACTGAATTCTAGATCAGGGGACCACGAACAACTGGTTTCTGTCTCCTCATGAAGAAATTTCTTTTTTAAAAAAATCTCTATTTTCTCACTTTAGAAATAAATCCTGGGGTTTAATGGTAAAAATCAAAGAGCCATATTTCTCTTTCAAAAAGTGTCCTGCAAAGCAAGGCTTGAAAGATAGCTCAGTGAGGTGTGGGAAGAAAATATTAGAAGTTTCGAATTAATTTAGAAGTTATATAGAAGTTTATTTAATTTTCATGTCACCCTTTTAAATGTTTATCTTTTACATACCATTTATAATGCACACAATAATTTAGTACAATCGTGTAAGTAAACAATTTATAAATAAATATTAAATAAATATACATTAAAATATATATATACTTACATTGGTGGTATGTTCTCAATAAAAATTGTTTTTTGGAAAGAGAGTTACATAATAAAAAATGTTTGGAGATCACTACAATATGGATCCCAAGTCTCGTTTCCCTCCATCCACAGTGAGTTGTTAGCATGCCTTTACCACCATATCCACTCCCTGAAATATGCCCTCTACAGCATTTGGCTGTCATTCCCATCCGAGGCAGTCACTGCAGGCTGTGCTGAGATTACCTTGAGGAAAGGGGTGGACCAGGTGACTTTGCTATCTCACCTCTGCCTCCATCAGCAGTTCCACATATTGAAAGGCCAGTGTCACCCAGTGTTTGCAAATACAGGCACTGGAATCAGAATGGGCAGAGATTCCAGCTGCCCTCTTAATAGCTCCAGGCCCTTGGGAGAGTTGTGTGACTTCTCACCAAGGCTTAGTGCTCGTCCATAACAGGAAGATGAAAATAATGCATCCCCAGTGGGCTGTCCTAAGGATGATGAGATAATGCCAGTGGGAGCTCAGCAGCTTTCAATAAGCAGAGTTGTTCTTAACAGTAGCGATTGAGATTACAGCTATTATTCCTCATAATAATGGAACCCATGGCTTGAGATGACTTTAAAGCAGTCTCTTTGCCTAGATACTCAAGATTAACCTGCTTTAAAATGATTCTGCTCTGCTGTGAAGAATGATTCAGCCAGCTGCCAGTGGATTTCTTTGGAACCCTTTCTGAACGTTTAGGATTCTCCCTGGAGAAACTTTCTCAAGGAAGACAAAATGAAGTTATACTTTCTCTTCAAAGGAAATGGCAAATGGTTAATTTTGCCAATTAATAGTGTGTTGGGCATAGAAGGTGCTCAACAAGTATCGTTTATTTGATAAATTATGGATTTTGAATGAAGCCTATCTCTTATATCTAAAAGTGTCATAAATAGTAACAAAAATAAGAAAGGCACACTGGTGGCCAATGACATGTAGTTAGCCTTATCCCTGCTCTATGAAGCCAAGAGCTTAATTAGATGTGAATGACTGAGTAGAATATGATTAAGAACAAACACCAACAATGTGCCCAAATGTTCAGTTTCTCTTCCTGTTAATTTTCTGCTAGAACAAAACAAAAGCCCCAGGGAGGTTTACGTTGCTACTGAACATAAAGGGGCCAAATCCCACACTAGGGAGCCTTGGGAGTTGTTTTGATTGTGGGTATGTGGAGTTATATGGAAGCACAAAGGATGGTTCACCATATGTTTGCAAATATCTCAGTCCATCTACTAAGGTGCACAAGAAATATAATTTTAGTTTTCTGAAATGTGTTTAAATTTCTGTTTCAAATGCAATTTTGCCTATTATTATGGGGTGCATTGTGTCCCCCAAAAATTTATATGTTGAAGTCCTAACCCCTAAGACCTCAGAATCTGACTGTATTGGGAGATAGGATCGTTAAGGAAGCAATTCAATTAAAACAGGGTTATTAGGGTGGGCACTAATCCAATAATGGCCTGTCTTTATAAGAAGAGGCAGTTAAGACACAGATACACACAGAGCTGTGACCATGTGAAGACACAGGGAGAAGACAGTGCTCTGCAGGTCAAGAGAGGCCTCAGAAGAAATCAACCTGGAGGCTGGGTATAGTTTGCACCTGGAATCCCAGCACTTTGGGAGGCCGAGGCGGGCGGATCACCTGAGGTCAGGAGTTTGAGACCAATCTGGTCAACATGGCGAAACCCTGTCTCTACTAAAAATACAAAGATTAGCCAGGCGTGGAGGTGGGCACCTGTAATCCCAGCTACTTGGGAGCTGAGGCAGGAGAATCATTTGAACTTGGGAGGCAGAGGTTACAGTGAGGTGAGATTGTGCCACTGCACTCCAGCCTGGGCAACAGAGCCAGACTCCATCAAAAACAAGGAAGGAAGGAAGGAAGGAAGGAAAGAGGGAAGGAAAGAGAGAAAAGGAAGAGAGAAAGGGAGGAAGGGAGGAAGGGAGGGAGAAATCAACCCAGCCAACACCTTGATTTTGGACTTCCGGATTCCCGAACTGTGAAAAACTAAAGTTCTGTTGTCTGAGCCACTCAGTCTGTAAGACTCTGCTATGGCAGCCCTGGTATACTAATACACCTATGTTTCAGAAATGGTCTCTTTCAAATTGAGGGTCCTTCCCTTTGCCCTAAGGTTTTATTTCATTTGGGGGGTGGTGTGGTACTACTGTCAGGGCAGGAGGCAGGGAAGGAGATCATGGGCATTTGCCCCAGAAGGTCATCCAGTTATGGCACAGTTGTTCCTAGGGCTGGCTATAGAATTTGCAACCTCAGTGCAAAAGGAAAATATAGGACCCTTTGATCAAAAAGCATGAAGAAAGCACTGTTAAAGACACTAAAATAGAAAGCATTTTTCTTTCTTCTGGGGTCTCTCTCTTGGCTTGCCATGGTGTTTTTATTTCCTATTTAATGCTGCCCTAAGTAAAGAAAAATTTGAAACTTTAATCATCAGCATGAATTTTACCATTTATCTTTAGAGTCTGCAATGCTAGCTTTGAATCACTCATATGTGGACCCACCAGAATGACACAACTCAATCTCACAACTAGTATAGGCATATGGATTTTGTTCTTCACAGAAGGGTGGAAATCCTGCACAAAATGAACTCAACTGCTTTTATTTCGCTTCTTGATGCACACACATTCTACCAACACTCCTACCTCTGGCTAACTGATGAATAAGGAAGGGCTGAAAAGACAAGGAACTACGGGTTGCCCTATCTGTTCCTTTCCTTCTATGTTACCATTCTCAGCGTAAGTGATTGGCTGAGCCTGGGAAGCAACAGGAGCGTGGAAGGATATTCTGAGGTTCCTGGTTGTTCATATTTCTAAGAACACCATTGCCTTCTTTCTGTGTTTGGTGCAAGTTCTGGTGTGTGGGGAGCATGTGGCCTCTGAGGGTGGCCCATGCCCTTCTTTACTGAGTGGCAGATGTCACTCACTTTGCTTGTATTCACTGCCTCCCTCACATTGTCCTGGGTAACGCTGGGCTCATGGGCACCCTGAATGCTCCGTGCAGATGAGGAGGCTAGAAGTGCAGGACACAGCCATCATTCTACCTCCTATGCTCAGAAACAGGCTCCTCTGTCCCACCAACTTTACTCACAAAACACAAGTTCAAAGATAAAATCACTGAAAATCTCAACCCATCCACCATAGAGCGCAAGACCCAGCTCTAGGCCCTCCTGAAGGCAGGTCTCTGTGTCCCTAGATTTCCAGTCTGAAGTCAGCCCCGCCTGTCCCTCTACTTCCTCTC